AATCACCGTAGCCTAGACGATTACCGCAATTTCCCGAAATCTCATGCGTGTACCCGATGAACACGAGTCACGTGACGAGATTCGAGCGAGCCAACCGAGCTTAACGCTTCCGCAGTCTGGCGATGATGTATTTCGGAATCGGTTTCCGGTGGATTAGGTTCGCCCTCGATTATTATTAGATGAGTTGACCAGCGGTTTCCGGAAGGCCGATTTTCAATTTTAAAATTGGATACTGTGGCTGAAACGACGAGGATTCTGATTCAGAGAATGATCGAGTCTTTAATGAAACAGAGGCATTTGAATTATCTAATAGCCAGCTGGTGGTAAATATTTTTTTCTTTGAGGTTAGGTTTACGTGAAATTCGATTTTTAAGCTGAATTATTAATAGTGTGCAATTTAAACATGGTTTTATATTACAGATAGAACCTAAGAATCAGAAATCAGTATTGTAGAATAATTACTCATTCATACTTAACCCAACCTAACCTAACTCTTGGAAATAAAAAAGAAACTCATTAATCACAGTAATATCAACATATATACCTCTGTAACATTTAATGATCAGTGAACCAAGGTAAGCGGTCGATAACTCAGTAAAACATCTTCTGTGGGAGAAGGAAGAACAAGATATGAATCAAATTCTCTCAATTCACTTGAATTGCAACAGGATGAGGCTGGAAAGGTTTAATACGAGAACGCAGGTGCCAAGTCTGCGTTTATTTCTCGCTTGTTTGCCCCTTTCCATCTTTTTCGCCCCCCCCCCCCCCCTAGCCTGTCGGTGTCTCCTGGGCGAAACGTCAAATGCCATTTTCACAGGCCTGCTATTTCTGCCAGGTGGCGGGTCGGTTGGCTGGGCCGGCCGTCCGCCATTTTCCGCTGGACGTTTTTGGTTCAAGATTAATTAAATCCGTCTGGAAATAGTTTTGCGACCGTTGGCCATCAGGCTGTGTTGGACGAGGGGATGCTCGACTTGGTGAACAACGATTCGGTGGCGCAACACACGATGTTAATCTAGTCGTGTTCGCCCTTTTTGCTCGAACCAGGCTCGATCTCGACTTTAGGTCGCTGTCGTGACTCGACTGGATCGCATCGATAATGCAGATTTTTTCGTTTTCTTCATTCAGGATAATTTCTGTAATATTCTGATAGACGATAACACCTTTACTAGGCGAATTTTTTCATTTGTATTTGTTTGTAAATTGGTTCTATTTTATTTCTGATAATGCTGTTGGAAGTGGAAAGTTAGGTTAGAAAACTGAAGGGAAATCTGTTAATTTATCTTTGAAATAGAATTTTATATACAAACTAAATATTAACATTTTTATTTCTTTATATTGTAGGAACTGTGGAAAAATTTTGACGGACCCCAAACGAGAATCGAACCCGCGACCCTCAGGATGGCAAGCCGAGACACTAGGCACTACGCCAACAACTCCCCCGCTATTTTTCCTTGTCGTTTTCCCTTTTGGGTATGGAGGCCCCGATACTATAATATTTTATATTTTATTTACTGTACTAAAGATTAAATTTGTAGTAAATTGGAAATTATTTTTCATATTTTTATTAATTCTTGGAAGGGCGAAGAATTGAGTATAATTTTGCGTATAGAAGAGGTGGTTCTAACAGAAGCTTAAGTTGTCAAGTGTCACGGAATGAAAGTGACCGGTGGCTGCTTCTAGACAAGGATGGACCAAGGCTGGGTCACGTTCAAGCTGAATGGACCTGGAGGCCCATTCATAATCGATATACTTACCTAGATGATTCCATTTGGCCAACAGTGCCAACATCAGCCCATTGAGTACCTATCCTCCAGTGTGAATGACCTTTTACGCGGCTAAACAGCTGCAATCTTCACAAACTAACCTCTCTATCGTAATTTTCCAACTATCTTCCCCTTTCCTCTATCCTAATAAACGAAGAAACTTCTGACCTTCTTATAAAACAGTCCTACCACTCCTTGAATGATTTTTAAAAAGAATATCATTTTACGAAACAATTTTGAGTAACCTAGAAAAGCGATAAGATATAAAGTTTCGATATAATCGTATGACAATACAGTTAAAACAAAAATGATAAATTTTAATATAAGAAAATAAGAAAATTGAGGTTAGGTTGGGTTAAATTGGAAAATCTTTATTAAAAATGTAAAAGAATCTCGAGAAAATGTCTCTTTTTAATACTATTAACCATCGAACTCGGGAAACTCCGAGTTTCTTCGTCGATACTCTCTCATAAAGTTACTTTCAACTGGAAGAATGACCGGAAAAGGCGTTTAAACGTCCGTAGCCGGTTGAGC